ACACCCAAAGCACAGAACAATCACTCACACAAAGGATTCCCCAATAAAATATCTACACAATATAATGATCACCCACCCCCACCATCCCATCACTTTAACAAGGCTATATCTCCATATCAACAAAGAGAGGATCACAGATGGAATGATTTTAACAATTATTCTTATCACAATAGAAATCCACCCCCATACATGCAATTTAGAGGTAGACCATATTACAAAAATAGAAATAGAGGTAATCATAATAGAGGTTCCCAATATCATTCCACACAAGGTAGACAATATATACCACAGTATAACAATGATTACAGGAATCAGTATGGAAATGAGTATAGAAATCACTACACACCAGAATTCACTAATGGACACCAATACACCAGTACGTACACAAAAAGGAATTCACTCCAATTGTATCAGATACCCACATATAATCAATATTCACCTTTAGAATCAGAAGATTCATCTACACCTTTACCCAATCCTTTTTTAGAATGGAATCAGAATCCCATAACAGACAATTTACACAACAGAGAGAACGGAGAAAGAGAGGGAACAGAGGAGGAAGAAAAAACAAAAAAAAAGAAGAAATTAAAAGGAGAAGGAATCTTTAATCTTAGTGAGATTCCTTTGAAACCAGAAGAAATACATGTACTTGATCATGGACTCAAATTTGCTCCAAATAAAGGATTAAATAAATGTGAAACTTATGTGAGTCTCCACAAGCTAGTTAGAAAATTGAATTTAAAAAAATATTTTGCTAAAACTCCCAGTGCAACCAATATTCATTCTACCACAATACAACATAGTAACCTTCATAATAAATCCACATTTTACCCTAAAAATGTAGACAATACATATATCAATACTTTCAAAAAATTAGTAACTAAAGATTTGGAACTATTACATATACGACAATATAAAGAAGACCCTTTTTTAAAAAAAGGGATCAAAAGTCTAAACGAGAGAAAAAATATCGTAATCAGACCTGCGGATAAAGGAGGGGGCATTCCAATCCTTTCAAAAGAATTTTATGAAAACTCTATGAATAATATGTTACAAGATACCAATACATATCAAGTATTAGAAAGCGATCCCACACAGAGATACAAAAAATAATTAATTAAATTAATTAATTATGGCAATCATAAAAACATTTTAAATGACAAAGAGACTAAATATCTAGTACCGTCCACATGCAAGTTACCAGTTATATATGCAGTACCCAAATTACATAAAGATTCCATAAATCCCCCTATACGCCCCATAGTCAATGGTATTGATTCGCTCACATCTAGATTAGGGGAGTATATAGATCAATATCTCCAACCCTTAGTAGTACAAACCAAAGCATATCTGAAAGATACAAGGCATATTATTATACTAACACAAGATCTCCACATTAAAGAAGGAACACTATTAAGCACAGCTGACATATCATCACTTTACACAATCATAGACCATGAGGGTGCAATACAAGCAGTTAAATAGGCTTTGATGAAATATTCGACTTTGCATAAAAAACAACAGAAATTCCTATTGAAATGTCTAACGTTCTGTTTAGACCATAATTATTTCTGGTATCAGAACACCCATTACCTACAAGTAAGGGGAGTTGCCATGGGAGCCCGCTTTGCTCCCAGTGTAGCAAATTTATATATGGCACAATGGGAAGAGTCAGCCATATATCAGAGCCAGAGACAAGAATTGATTCTAAACCAGAGGTTCATAGATGATATAGTAATAGTATGGAATGGAGAAGAAAAATCTCTAGTAGACTTTTATGTAGATCTAAATTCCAATGACAGAAATATAACGCTTAGTTGGAATATTATCAATAAAGAGGTCAACTTTTTGGACCTATGGCTAATTAAAGATGGAACCAATATATATACTAAAATTTTTTTTTAAAAAAACCCGATAGGAATGCCTATATATCAATCAACAGCTGTCACCATAAACCTTAGATCAGAAATATTCCTAAGGGTCAATTTACAAGATTGAGACAAAATTGTACACACACGGAAGATTACATAGAACAAAGTAACATCTTAGTAAAAAGATTCATAGATAAAGGGTACAAGAAACAGAATATAGAACAAACTAGAAAACAGATAGAAACACTTGATAGAAAACATTTAATAGAATCCACGACAAAAAATAAATTAAATAAAGAGAATAACAATAATGTAGCTATGGTTATGTCATATAGCAGGCAATATAGAGATATTCAACAGATTATTACGAAACATTGGGATGTACTAAAATTAGATAAAGATTTAATAGACATCATTCCTGCCAAACCGCAATTTATATATAAGAAAGCCCCCAACATCAGGGATAAAGTGGTTAAGAATATTATAAATCCGCCCAGTAATAAAATCAATTTTACTTTCTTCCAAGGAACAGGTTTCTATAAATGTGGCAGATGTTATAGCTGCCTAAGAACCAAAAATAATCCAAAATGTAGGTCAGAATTTCAAAATCCTATCAATGGAAATATATATAAAATCAAACAATTTATTTCCTGCGATACGAAAGGAGTGATCTACGCCCTCAAGTGTCCTTGTGATAAAATCTACATTGGTAGAACAAAAAGAACATTAAAAGAACGTATAAAAGAACACGTTTCTAACATAAATAAGGGTTATAAATTTCACAATGTTCCAATACACTTCCGTCAATTTCATCAGCAACAAGCTATAGGACTGGAATTTTGGGGTATACAAAAACATATTAAGCATTGGAGAGATGACAACTTAGTTAGAGAGATTAGTAAAAAAGAATCATATTTGATATATGAGATGAACAGTTTGGCCCCCGCAGGCCTGACTAAAGAATTTGATCTCTCTTGCTTTATTAGTGACCAATAATACACTATTGTTGTTAGGAATATTGGTGAGATAAAAATTTATTTTTACTTGACATTATGGCATCATGTGTAAATATTGAATTGGATTTGTGTGGAGATTACATGGAATCCCTAGATTTTTAATATTTTTTTTTTTTAATAATATTTATCTTTCAATTTCTTTTATTACATTTTAACTTTTATTTTTAGTTTTAGTTTTATTTTTGCATTTTTTTATTTTAGTTTTATTTTTAGTTTCATTTTTGCATTTACCTGTATTCATTTATATATTTTTTTTTCTTTTTTTCTTTTCTCATTTGTTCTAGATATTTTTATTTATTTATATGTAACATTTTGAAATTCATTTGATTATAGTATTAATTTATTTTATAGTTCACACTCAATGCAATTATTCATAAGAAAAAGTGTAGGCTGTATATATATATGTATTTATTATAAAGATCATACAGCGTGGCGAAAAAAAAAAAAAAACACACACCAAATATATAAACTAAAGAATAACATTTGTTTATTCCTGCTAAATCGTCAATAGCAGACTCTCAGTATTTAACAGCACTGCACATAAGGGCTACAAGAAAATGGCGCTGGAGACTATAAAAGGAGTCATTACATGGTGTTCATCCAATCATATCCCCCGACGAAGCCACGTGACCCTGTGCCGCAACGCGTTGGGGAGGGGCACTGACGTCACCACGTACCCGGACTCCTATGCACGGCGAGTACAGGAAGTATGTGTCCACACGCCGTTCAGGCTGGACACATCACACACCAAAAGCGTTTTTTTTTTTTTTTATATCTGTAAGTGCAAAATTGGCACCAATAAATTCTTATGCTCACCAAGGATAAGGCACTATTCCTTTCTCTTTTTTCTCTGGCAATACGCTGAGTAACAGGGAGAAAGTATACAACAACTGTTGGAGGGAAGACCTTACCCAGGATCTATTTACAGCAGAATAGTAGGAGCAAAGAGGAGAACCATTCAGTTTGCTACTTATAGAAGAACACACCAAGTAACTCATTTTATTTTGAGCATTTTTATCTGGAATTATGTGAACAGTTAATTTGCAGTGAATAGTCCCACCCTGATGGGATCAAATACATGATTGGATCTTCAACTATATTGGACATTTATGAATTATTAATTTTAAGTATATATATATATATATATATATATATATTTATTAATCAATTTTAATTATATACATTTTTATATTTTTGATTATTTTATTTATATAATTTGGATCGTTTTTTTTTTTTGTTTTTTTTTTTCTTCATAATTGATGTATTATATATCTCTACAATAATGAGTTGCACATTTTATATTTTTATATTTTGAAAATTAAGGGCAATTATTTATTATTTAATTACTGAATTAATATTTGTTAAAAATTGATTTTATTTATTTATTCACGGTTATAATATAAGGGCGCGGCACCATTTTTACTTTCAATTTGTTATTTTCAGTATATTTAATGAGAATATAGCTAGGAGCTCGCGAACTTATCCTAGACTAAATATTTATAGTGGCTCACAGGATATTTCCATCAGAATTAGGTTTGGCCCTCCGCAACAGTTCCAGATTGTCTTTATATGAAATCTCCCACCACAAAATGTCCTCAGCCAATGACAGGTGATGACGCCATTTTTATTTTCCTGCTATCAATGGCCAACCCGGTCCCACAGTTCATCCATGTCTTTGGTGACCTCTGACCTCCTTATGATGAAGATCAGCCATGGAGTATATCTGAGGTGTATTTCAGGGGGTGCTTCTTCCCCACATGAGAGCTGGGATGTCCAGCAACATTCAACACCTCCAGGGTTGTGTGGGACCCCAGGAAGACAGGACTTCTGTGAGGAACATTTCCCTCACTCAGGATAGGAACTTGACTTCTCCCTCGTGTGAGATCGCTGATGTACAGGAAGACAGGACTTCTGTGAGGAACATTTCCCTCACTCAGGACAGGAATGTGACTTCTCCCCCATGTGAGATCTCTGATGTACAGGAAGACAGGACTTCAGTGACCAACAATTCTCTCACTCAGGACAGGGAAGTGGCTTCTCGCTCGATGTTTGGAAAGATTGGACTTGTCTGAAAAACATTTCCCGCACTCAGAACAAGAATACGGCTTCTCCCCCGTGTGCAATCTCTGATGTGTGTAAAGATTGGACTTCCTTGAAAAACATTTCCCGCACTCAGGACAGGAATACGGCTTCTCCCCCGTATGACATCTCTGATGTCTGTAAAGATCGGACTTTTGTGAAAAACATTTCCCACAGTCAGGACAGGAAAATGGCTTCTTCCCCGTGTGCAGTCTCTGATGTTTGACAAGATCTGATTTCTCTAAAAAACATTTCCCGCACTCAGTACAGGAATACGGCTTCTCCCCTGAGTGCGATCTCTGATGTGTGTAAAGATGAGACCTATGAGAAAAACATTTATCCCACCCAGGGCAGGAATACGGCTTCTCCCCCATGTGAGATCTTTCATGAACAATAAGACTGAATTTAAAACAGAAACATTTCCCGCACTCAGTACAGGAGAACCTCTTGTCTGTTGGAAGGCTGGCCTGGTCCCGAACAGTCTGAGGGTCCTCAGAATACAAGGAATCCGATGGTTCATCTACACTGGGTGGTGCCAGATGGACATTGGAGGGAGCCAGGTTTTCTCCTGGACTATACTGTGTGATGTCCTCATCTTCTACTTTCCAGTCTGGAGACAAAGTGAGACAATCCTCGAAGGTTTTCCACATCTCCCGGCCATGGACTAAAAGACAAAGAGGATTACTAGACAGCTGATTGGTTCCCCCAAACCAGGACTCCGCCCACATCAGGCAGCCTGGTCTCTGAGAAGCTTACAAGGTAAATGGTTCCTCCTGAGCTCCAGGCTCTTGCCAGACAGAGAGATCCAATGAGAACTTTATCATCTGATCAATCAGTGAGCAGTATGGGTGGAGGAATGGATTTAGTGTTGATGACCCACCTGTGCTGATCTCTGTAGGAGTGTCCTCCTCTATAAATGTCCCCGTTATTCCATCCTCCTCCATAGACTGCTGATCATCCCTCACATACGCCTCTTCTTCTTCTGATTTCACCTTAAATTCTATATCGATTGGATCTCCACTCTACATCAAGAGAAGGATTGGAAATATAAGCTCTAATGATGTGAGACCACAAAGACCAACATCATCTTCTATGATCTCTACATCTCCATGCATCACTTTATGTTCTAGATGTTCCTCCATACCAACCTTGTAATGGTGAGGGACAGTGTGACCTTCCTGTATGGAATCCCGGGAACACAGAGGACGGGGACATCTCTCTGCTGGGTTCCCATGACTGGATCCATCTGTAGGAAACACACACACTGACTGAATCCATTGTTTCTGTGTGTTTATCAGATGATGGGGTATCTAGGTGGAGCCTCCGTACTGCTCTCCTTTCCAATAAAGTCTCCTCTTACCCGGTGATGTGAGGGACAGCAGATTGTCCATCATGACGTCCTTGTAGAGGTCCTTGTGTCCTTCTAAATACTCCCACTCCTCCATGGAGAAATAGACAGTGACACCCTGACACCTTATAGGAACCTGACACACACAATGATACAGTCACCATCCAGACACATCCCTTGTCTGTTACTGGAGAATGTCCCAGAATTCCCGGCACCGCTCACCTCTCCTGTCAGCAGCTCCATCATCTTCTTGGTGACTTCTAGAATCTTCTGCATGTTGTGTGTTCCAGGGTTTAGGGAGTCACATGGAGGCACTGTGATGGTCATATGATCACCTGACTTCAGAAGAGGAAATCTCTGTATTGAGGAACCAATAGGAACATCATGTTAGACTCCCAGAATCCTCCTCACCTCTCTGGTCAGGTCTGTGTTTTATTAATAGAGATGAGAGTAATGTCATGTGACCTCCCAGAATCCTCCTCACCTCTTTGGTCAGGTCTGTGTGATGTCATGTGACCTCCCGGAATCCTCCTCACCTCTCGGGTCAGGTCTGTGTGATGTCATGTGACCTCCCAGATTCCTCCTCACCTCTCCGGTCAGGTCTGTGTTTTATTATTAGAGATGAGAGTAATGTCATGTGACCTCCCAGAATCCTCCTCACCTCTCCAGTCAGGTCTGTGTGATGTCATGTGACCTCCCAGAATCCTCCTCACCTCTCCGGTCAGGTCTGTGTTTTATTAATAGAGATAAGAGTGATGTCATGTGACCTCCCAGAATCCTCCTCACCTCTCCGGTCAGCAGGTAGATGATCTCCAGGGTGAGGTTTAGTATCCTCTCGGTCATGTGACTCCGGTCCTCCTCCATCCTCAGTGATGTGGTCATGTGATCTATGCGGGTTTCTCTGTAGACGGGTAGTGGAGAATCATCTGGACTGTATTGGTTGTACAATATTCGGATGGGGATATAAGGGGGGGGGGGGGGGGGGGGGGGGGGGGTAATAGTGAGCAGATGTGAATTGGAAGAAGTAAATTGGATTACCTATAAACAATATCTGCATAATAACACATCCAGCAAATCTGAATGTACATTCTTTTTATGGAAACTGTAAAAATAAAGTCCACTCCAAGGGTTAGATGGTCATTTAGGTGTCGGGAACCTGGAAAAGCACTCTTACGTCATCGATCATCCACTTCCACAGGCTCCTCTGGTCCCTGCAGCCTCTCCTCCCTTGTGCTCTGGCAGTCGCAGGTTCTTTGATGTCATCAAAAGCCAATGCAGATCCCATAGCCCTTCATTGGTTAGTCCCCTGCTGGATCATAGAGGAGTAGAGGAGCGTGATGACAGCCAAGGAGCAAAGGTAAGTGAAAGTGGTTTTCCTTGTTACCATACCAACCACCTACCCCTTGGACTGGGGCTGCCCCCGTAATAAAAGGGTTAAATGCTCAGGTCTTCAGTTTAGGTCAGCCGGGGGTAACGGCCCCGGAAGTGTTCACCCTGAGCTTGACAAATGTGCGGCCAATAGCTCCCTATAAGACAGCAGTGTAGAGATGACAGGTCCTCTTTAAGGAGACATCAGGAGTCTTTTAGACCCCCAACCTCATCTATGGACCCCGGTGAAGCTGATGAAGTATAGATCAGGATTATAGAACGTCTTCTCTGTCCTCAGTGACCGGGGAATGACGGCTCTGAGCCTGGAAGTGATGACATTCCCGTCTCTTCTGGGTTCATTCACCGGAGGGGAGATCCAAGAACTTACCACCCTCCACTCCGTCCGCCATGCCGGTCCCTGGCCTGCAGGAAGGGCTGAGGAGACCGGAGGATATGGCAGAGGAGCGGGAGAGGGGTCGGTATTTTTGGTGGAAAGGTGTGGAAGTGGACATTTCAGTCCAATTCGAATCCCATCCCCCATTATAGGAGACGGCAGAGGTGAGAAGGTGACGGGCGCGACGGTGGAGGAAAAGGACGGGCGTGACGGTGGAGGAAGAGGACGGACGCGACGGTGGAAGAAGAGGACGGACGCGACGGTGGAGGAAGAGGACGGGCGCGACGGTGGATGAAGAGGACGGGCGCGACGGTGGATGAAGAGGACGGGCGCGACGGTGGATGAAGAGGACGGGCGCGACGGTGGATGAAGAGGACGGGCGTGACGGTGGAGGAAGAGGACGGACGTGACGGTGGAGGGAGAGGACGGGTGTGACAATGGAGGAAGAGGACAGACATGACGGTGGAAGAGGAAGGACATCACGATGGAGGAAGAGGACGGACGTGACGGTGGAGGAAAAGGATGGACGTGACAATGGAGGAAGAGGACAGACGTCACGGGGGGTTACTGAGTGTAAATAAAATTAGGATCTTATTACCACTTCCAGCAATGTCTCCTCTGTATTGTACCTCAGGGAACTTCCTGTCTGTCCCTGACATCACTTCCTGTCTGTACCTGACATCACTTCCTGTCTTCCATAGAGACTTCCTGTCTGGGTAGAAGTAAGATCCCCACCTTGTGGAGCTCAGAGGAAATGCAGCCCCGAGAAGCGTCTGGTAGTGTGACCCCGGCCTTGAGGGGTCACCTCCACTTCCACCAAGGGGGACAGAAATGGATGACTGCCTAGTCCAGCATTTCTCCGACAGGGTTCCTCCAAAGGTTTCTAGGGGTTCTTCCAAAGGGTTCTAGGGGTTCCTTCAGCAATGAACAATTCCTGTCTCTCAGTAACCACTGACATCAATAATCTGTAAGGGGGGCAGTCTTCCCACTGATGACCATGTAAGAATATCCTCCCCCCACTGACCACTGATATAAGGGGGTCCTTCTCCCATCAGTCACCAATGTAAGGGACCACTACACTGACCACTGATATAAGGGGGTCCTTCTCCCATCGGTCACCAATGTAGGGACCACTACACTGACCACTAGAGAAGAGTTCTGGGTTTGGTTGTCGGGATGAGTGGACAATTTGAACCAATCCTTGGCTGTCCCCGTTCCGTTTGTCAGGAGCCGATCACATAAAGAAGAGACATTTCCACATCTATAGATAGCAGCTTCCCGCTGTCCCTGGTGCCTGAGGAAGCCATGGATGCTTGCAGTGGCCACATCCCCAGGAATCAGTGATGTCATTGGGGGTCTCTGCCATGTAAGGAAGGGGGTGGGGACAGCAGTGACATCACTGGCCAAATATGCCCACTGGTCACATTTGGGTAAGAGGGTCACCACCATCTCCGTCCCTTCACATAGAGGATGACAGCATAGAGATCTACTGTCCAATACTATTTACCCCAAACTCTTTCATGTGGGGGAAGGTATATGAGCCCCCCTAATTATTAAAGGGGGTTTCCAGAATCCAGTTTGACCTCCACCCACAGATTCCCAAAGCCACCAGCCAAGGTGCTTTGTCCAGGAAAATCCCTCCCTGGTATAGTGACCCTCCCATGTTGTGAGCATGTGGCCTGGTATGGTTCAGGGGTGGGGGCACACTACATCCCACCTCTGCACCCCGTATGGTGGGCTGTACACCATATACTCCAGATTGCCGCACTCTGGGCCAATATTCAAGGTTGTGAAGGCTTTTCATGGGTCACCTAGGAGCAACGTTCATCGCCATCGCACCGGCACACACCATTTATATCGTTCAATAAACTTTTTATTATCATTTTACATTTACCAAGATTGCAAATCATAGAATCAGGAAATAGTAAAGGCAGAAATCCGATTGGTCTGGTAAATCCCATGTCTGGAATTTGAAGGTGGAGTCATTATTGATCGGCGTACAATACACAACGTGTTCCATTATTATAACAAGATCCCGACATAGACAATGGGGTGGAGGGGGGGAAATAAAACCGGAAGCTCTCTTCTGTGGTCACACTCTAAACCAGGGGTGTCAAACTGGAGGTCCTCCAGCTGTTGTGAAACTGCAAATCCCATCATGCCTCTAGGTGGAAGTGGCGTTAAAGAGTGTGACCAATGGTGTGATGTAACTCCTGAGACTGAGCCCTGAGTGGTTGAACTTTGGCGCCAAGTTTGAAAAGCTT